CGGCGGGGAGGGGGTAGGCAGGAAACGGCCGCGGCGAAGCCAGGGCCCCCTCCCTGGCCGAGCGAGGGACCGCGGAGACCCTGGCGGCCGGACGGCGGCGTGGAGGAGGGGCGCGTGGGGGAGGGGCGGCCGCGCGGGCGCCCCTCGGGCTCGGCCCGAGTGGGGTTGCGCTGAGGTAACGGGGGGTTTCCGCGTGTGGAGCGGACCGCGGGCCTAACCACCCCCCCTCAGGAGTGGGGGAGGCGGGGGCGGGGGTGGGGGTCGGTCTCCATCGGACCCCCACCTGCGGGGACCCGGGCGCCCGCCAACTCCGGGGCGTGCGGTGGCACGTGGGGGAGGGGTCGCGTGGATGTCTGCGGGCGGCTGGGGCCCGGGGGCAGGTGGTGGCCGCGCTCAGCGCAGACCACTTCCTGGAGTCGGACTTGCTCCTACCGCCTCTCCCCCCAGCTCGTCACGGGGAGAGCACTGCGTTAGGATCGGGGAGCGCGGGGAGAGTGTCTGGGAAACTAGATGCCCCCAACTCCACCCCCTTTATCTCCACTCTGCTCCCGGCTCTTTTGTGTCAAGTGCGGGCCCCCACCCCCACCCCCCCGCGTGACCCCGTCAGTCTGGGGTGGCCGAGCTGCCCAGCTGTGACTCTCACGTGGCTGCCATTCACTGTCACTCACTCTCTCGCTGAAACCACCCGCACCTTGATCACGCCGGGGGGCGTGAACTGCCCACCCAGCTGTTGTGCAGCTTGACCGTCACTCGGCACCGCTCCCCCGGGATGACGAGTCACCCGGCCGCCCTCTGGGCAGTTCCCCCAGGGCTGGAAGGGGCAGACTGCTGCCTCGCATGGGGCGAGCAGTGGCCCCATTCAGACCACCCTCCTAGTGGAGTGATTTCTAATCTTCTTGAGGACAGGGGAGCATCCTGAGGGTGCTCACCTCTTCTGCTTGGGGCAGGGAAGGGGACACCCATACCCCCAGGCCTCTGGGTGCCATGCAGCACAAATGCACCAAACTTCAGGACGGCTAACATCACGCTCTTTGTGAAACTGTCACATTGATCTGTGTGGCTTATGTAGCAAATGTTCCTGTTCCGTTGAGACCACCTTTGAGGGAGTACGGGGTGCCTTCTGGGGGGGGGGCGGAGGAGGGTGCGTGTCTGATGGAAACAGGGACCTCCCCCCCCCCCCGGCTTGTCTGAAAAAGGGAAAAGTTTTTAGAAAGTTATCCCAGGGAACCTATGGATTTGCAAGAAGGAGAAGGAATAAAGAATCGTGGGGAGGGGGATGCCTGGAGCACGGCAAACGTAGCTAAAAAGGGAAAGAAAGGATGTCAGGTTGTGTTAAGCCACCTATTTGTTTGGAACTTGGAATGTGGTATTTGGGTGTTTTTGATCCCGTATTTGGGGATGTGAGCGAGAGGGGCATGAAAGAATCTGAGGTCGAGGTGGGTCTTTGTGTCAGTCCTCCCTCTCCCCATCTTCCCCTCCGCTCTCTCAACAGCCGAGAAGAAACGTCAAATGTTTTTTAAAAATTTGTATTTGAAATGAAAACCCACCTCCGCGCTCTCCCGGGGCCATTGTATCCCCCCCACCCCCTTTCAGCCCTCCGAGTCAAATGAGTGACCCAGATGCACCCCCTCAGATGACTTTCTGAGGCAAAACTTTGGGAAAATATTTTTGGTCCGCTCGTTATTTCTGTCTACCTAAGTGTGAGCAAAATAAGCCTCCTCGAAGGAAATGTGTGCGGGCTGCCTTCCCTCATCCTTCTCCAGAATATGAATTTGCACGTATTAGAGGTCTATTGTTTTTCATTCCGACTGCTTTGATTCTCACCATTTTGTTTTACATTCTTACCCAAGACCAATTTTATCCCTTCCCCCCCTCCCGTCTCCTTACATTGTTAAACGTTTAAAATAATAGCACTCGTGTTGTGGGGGAAGGGAGCAGGAAGCCAAAAACTCATTTCTTCTCCCTCCCCCTTCTGGCAAGTCTCGAGAAATAATATAACATAATATATAGATGTGATTCCTTGGGGGTGGGGGTGGGGAATGATTGTGGGTGGTGCGGAAAATTCTGGTAGTTTCTTTGCAAAAGGTCTGAAAATACAAACCCACCCCCTGTATGCAGTACGCATGTGCAGCAGACCTATTATGGTGGTGCGTTGTGGGGGAGGGAGGGGAATTTGAGAAAAAATAAATATATGTGTGAGAGATTGATGGTGAGATTAGAGGGAGAGCGGGGCGGGCGGGAGGCGCGGCC